GGGTCAGAAAATGTTCTCCGACAGTGGCATAACAAGTACAGTAAACGTCAATATTACATGTTCTGCTAAGCGTGTCTACCTACGTTTCACAAAAATTTGTCAAATAAAAAATGATAATTTTATCACAGTGAGTATTAATAACTTCGACATCAATGAGGAAACAGTCACAGAATAAGAATAAGTAGGCCATCTTCTGTGGAAACAGACGAAAAAAATTCAACGCACAGTCCTTTTTCAAAAGCGAGATACATCGGCAGAAGAAATCCAAATTCCTCGTTTACCTATCACTAGATAACGACCAGATAACTGACTTTAACAGCCTAAGTACATGCTGATAATCCTAAGTAAGTTCCGGTATCTACCATTCAATATATGTGTGCCGTTTTTGAATTCTCCACCAGCGAGCTACAATACCATCCTAACCATCGTCTAGTGAAATCAAAAAACAAGCCTAAATCTTTGGGACAAAATCATACCGTTGTCACTGCTGATCTTGCAATATACAGCACAGCACAAGAGATACCTAATGTGGAGTAACCCCCAAAATTTACAGGGAAAGGTACCTATTTGTACCTATATAATTCACCAAAGAACTGAGATACATGGAGTTAATGAATTGTTTGAGATTTTACAATGCAACTCGGCGGAATGCATTTGTAAACGGTCTAAATAGCTAGTTTTGGTATTCGGAGAGAAATTTCTTAGTAAAGTAGAACCCGAGGTAGAACCTCTTACGCATCGCTCCTTGTTGCGCGAACGCTACTGACTATCCTTCCCTCTCCGTCTCACTCGCGAGGTCGGTAGGGTTTTACTTAAATGACCGTAACTTTTTTATTATGAAAAATTCACGGTAATGTTATAGAAAATAAAATAATCAACAATGCTTTGGAGCATCGAATGAGCTATACATATTGGAAATCGATATCGTGAAATAAAAAGTTATGAGAGTTCAAAGTGCGCACTTTTCATCTGCTACACGAATTTTGGAAGTTGACGGTCATTTTTCTAAAAACTGTGCATAACAAGGTAGGTAAATATGAATGTTTTAGATTCTGCTATAAATACTTTCGGTGGTCTAGTCGCGCGCGCGAAAATGAGTAAAGTTCAACTTTAGCGGCCTATAACTTTTGTCAGGACCACGGGAAAATGTCGTAAAGCGAGATTCTGAAGGTTCAAACATTTCTGAACAAAATGGTGTGGGTCCCAATTCTTTCTACTCCGAAGAAATTTTTTGAACGATTTCGCGGCTCTCCGCTGCACTATAAACATTGATGTAAAAAATGTAGATTTCGGCAAAATTTGATATCCGAGGGGCTTTCAAATAGGAATTGACTGGCACGGCATTTTTGGCCGATACCGATAAAATATCGGCGTGTCCGCTATTAAGTTCTGAAAAAACAATTGAACGCTCGTTAGATGTAAATGTAGCCATATTTTAATTTTCAAGATTTCAATTTCGTTTAAGTTGCGAGAAATTGTAAACACCGTAAGGTATTTTCAATGTTTAATATTAATTAATGTAATATTTCACGAATAGGGACCTAACGGCGCGTCTTATTACGGCCATAAATGTTTAATTAACACACGTTGTAGTCTTTGCTATTTCTCACAGCGCTTCTTCTTTGATTTTTTGTCCGGCACCCTCTGAATTTGTTCATTTTTGGTTTTTTCAATTCCTTCACAGCGATGTTTGATTTCCTTCACAATAGAATATTTTACTCGAGATTTCAGTCCACACGTGCATAGGTATGTAGCAAAAAACACTTTGTAACTGAATTAAAAGATCAAAACAAATACTGTTGCCCTAAAAACAAAAAATAACTTCCCCGAAGCACCACCTACGCACAGTAGAATACGAATGCCAATGCATTTCCAGTTCATTAAATTTCTTGGCATGCGAAATTTGTCCAAAGAACACTGGTACACACATTTACACCTACCGAGAAGATTTCAAACCACGATCGCCAGAATGAAATTTGGACATGCAGCTTACCCTGAACACCTTTTTAGGATAAACGTTCTACCAAATAGTGCATCTTCTTTGAGTGCAAAAAATTTGAAAAGCAGCAAAAACAGTTGGGTCAACAGTTGGTAGCAAGAAAAATATCGGGTCCGTACAATGTTATGTCTATTCTTGCATATAATAACAAAAACGCTTTTTCATGTTTAGAATTCTTAGCAGATGGAAATATCATTGTAAATTAAAAAAAAAAACTAAAACAAAAAAAATACACATAACGTAGCTGGTTGAATGACCACTGGTCCAAGCCAAAAAAAAAAAAAAATTTGCCCCTGCCCCACAACTATTCTGAAATGCAAACTTAAGTGTAATCACGATTAAATGTATGCCATAATAATCTAGTGGTAAGGGTACGTGGCTTGCAACCAGGCGCCTCGGGTTCGCTTCTTTCCATAAAAGTTTGTTTTGTGTTTTTTTTCACAAAAATGCATATCCCACTTCATCGGAGTTGGACTTTTTTTGAATAGAAAAGTTGTACAAAAATGCTGCAGAGTATTCCCAACAACGCGTCTACTAATTACGAATATGCACGGCGGACGGGAGGTCAAAGTGTCCCCAAGAGGTACTTTTCTGTCGAAATCGCCTAAAGCAGACATGGGAACCTTTTTTTTCCAAGGGGCCAAAATACAATTTTTCATATGCGCTACGGACCGACCTTGAAAATCCAAATAAAAAGTATGTTTAAAGAAATTAATAATTATCTATTTCTTTTTGGTCTTGACCTATTTTTTGCTCTCGTTTTTAAATCATTTTTTAAAAAACAAGAACTATCCTGAAAATCGACACGATTTTGCATACAACATTTACCAGATCCCCATAATATTCGCCATATTCAGCTTGTATCCAAGTTTTCATTTACGCTCTTAATATGCAATATATGGCTTAAAATGTTTATTAATCCCAAAACACGTGTCGTTTTATTGGCCCACCCGGTATATATCGCGACGAAAATTCTGGAAAATACCTGGCGATATCTCTGAAACAAGAAATGCATCTTCAAAGAGGCTTTCAAGCGTCTTGGAAGCTTTGGATCGCGCCCACTAGACGCTGCACGTGTAACATAATCATTAAAGTCACTAGATATAGAATAATCATAATAATCGTATTAATTAATTCTTTCGAATTTTTAATGTAACTTGGCGGACCGTATGAAGTATTAACTATGAATTTGTTAGCGAGCCAGATAAAACTAATCGGTGGGTCGGATTAGGCCCGCGGGCCGTTGGTTGCCCATATATGGCCTAAAGACACATGCCTACAGCATTTTCTATTGAAGTTGGGCGCGTTTAATTGTTCTTCGTCCTTCCGTCGGAGGCTTTACCTAGAGACTTAGTTCGTTCTTTTTGTATTTGGTAGCTTGTAGCTCTGGCACCTGAGCCAAGAAAAATCTTGGCGATTAACGTGCGCATGCTAGTGAAGATATAGCAATAAAAACAAACTCGAGTGTTACTTTACTTTGTCAAAAAGTCGATTATTAAACAACGCCCTCAAAATCTAAAACCCATCATATTTTATTGCTTTAAAGTTCAAATTGACGACACGAGCGTGCAGAGAACACAGATTCTTCTACCATAAATAAGTGTAATTATTTCAAAACTTAAAAATAGGTAGTACGTCCAACATAACACCCTCAAAAGATTTGGTGTTTCAGTCTACATAAAAATAATACAAGCTCTTCGCCGTTCACGTGAATTTGTACATATAATTGACATGTATATCTACCTGTTAATTATATGCAATCGTCAAATGGTCTTAAGAAAAACGATTAGGAATATTGATTAATTTGGAAAAAAATGTTTTTTTGTCCCTTCCATATCCTATCCTTGTTGGTGTACTTACTTCCTTCAAAAATTAATAAGAATCTATCCAGATAGCTTCACCAGTTGAAATACATTCTCAGAAATTTATTTACAGCACGGTCTGATGATGGAACAGTTGTTCCGAAATCGATAACCTAGTAGCCAACATTTTACAATTATAAAATATTGTATTGTATTACCTACGATAATTTCATCATGGAGCAGTACGTCTACAAAATTATTTCCTACACACTATTATTATCCATTATTTGAGAATTCCAAATCAAAAATAATCTAAACAAGTATACATTTTTTGAACCAATATAACTTAGTAAATACTAAGTTATATTGGTTCAAAAAAGTGGTAGCATGATATATTTATTGTTGTTTAGCTTCTTGGTAGATGATTAATGGAGAGGAGGCCCTTCCGGGCTCCGGACATTTAAAGATCATCTGGCACATATCTACGCTATATAGTGTACGAGAACATTCTCGAAAAACACATCATATTTCCCGGAAAGACCACATCCGCCTTCGTTCCCAATCGCCTTAGTGGCGACCTGATTGCACCCCGATGTCGCTATGGAATATTCGCTACACTATGTAATCTCTGTTTTAAAAAATCGCCAACAAATAACAATTAAGTTGGATTACTTATATGTGAATTTTTCAATGACGACAGTTTTACGTAGTAACCTACATGGCGTATTACGGTTTTGTGTGATGACTCAATTTATTCTTTTGGTATAAGCGTCAATCGATATGCGTTTGTATCGATTTTATTGCAGCGAAAACAGCGGTACATTGCAGAACATTGAATCGTTCAAATGTATGTTGCCGCTTATTAGAATCGTATGAATTTCATACGAGAATGTAAGATTATAATAAAAGATATGTAGCCGTATTTGCAATAGCCATTTTACAGCAGTGAGTACTTGCGCCGTAAAATTTTATGCATTTTCCACCCCGTGTTCGATTCTAAACTAGAAACAATATTTTCACTGATAAGTGTTAAGGTTTATGAAAGCATTTTTATGGTGAAAATAAAAGATTTTTAAATTAAACGTATAAACGATTCGGATACGGCGATGCTCGCCTGCGAAGAAGCTAACAGAAGGTCGCCTGCAAGAATGTAAAGTGCTTTATAACGACACACCTCACCCGTATAGTTTATGTATCATATGGTTTACGATGTAGGGTTAAAGCGACGAATTTCAATATATTCGCACTAGTAGCCGAAGTAATTTCAAAGTAAACTACCGCGGAAATGTTAAACAGTACTATAAAAGTTACTATTTCAACTTTATGCATCTAGACGAAGTTATACGATTGTCGCTTTATGTTCCTTCACGCTTGTTTTCATACAGCGATTTTAATTTTATGAACCTGAAGGGCTTTTAAAAAAACCCCCTCAGGACTGCGAAAATGTTTTGTAAACATTTTTTATTATATGCAGTGTCGAATGCTATACAAATACATTGAAGTAGTGACCTTGGAGATTTAATAAAGCAAAAATTTGTTAACAATGTCTTATTTCGAAAATAGTTGACATAATCGTACTGGCGAAAATGCGATTCGCGCGATATATTGCCTGATAAAACGGCTAGACGCTCGTAAAATACTTCAGATTCGCAAACACTTCAAAGCAGTTTGTGAGGAAACCATGTGCGCGAATTTGACTGCTTCAGAAATTATTCGGAAGTCTACGTTTATCTTAGAACAAAATTATTGCGATTGTTAGCTAGGAAACGTTTCCGTTGCCATATAATTTGTAGATACACCACAGACGTATAAATTCTGATCTGAATGCCTTTTACACCGAGTGTCATTATAATAAAAGCAGTTCTCACACAAAGGTAAGAAATTTGGTACGTTTTTTAAGAATGCATATATATGCATTAGCGGATTAGGTTATTGAATAGAAACATTTGTACGAATACGGTGTTAGTTTAGGGCAGATTTTAATCCCGAGATTGATGTATTCTAAGTCCGGCTTTGCACAGGTCAACCCCAAGCTTTTTGCCTAAACGTCTGTGATAAATAACTATTTCTCGACTGTGAACTGCGAATAAATCAGGATAGCTTTTAAAGATGTTCGATACAAACAGAGAAAAGCTTAAATTTAACAAATGTCTTTCGGTTGAAAACTAATTGCGACGAATTGAATTCAATCTCTACTCGAAAAATCATCGGCCAACGGGGGTTGTTCGCTTTATTTTAATCGGGCTCAGTGGCTTGTCAAAACGCTCTCGTAATTCATTGTATGTCCATGCAAGCGATATTTTCATTTTAGGATATTAAACTTTTCTGGTTTTTATTAGTTCGCAAAAAACGAGACGAGTGCCTTGTTTGCTTAAGCCCCCGGCTCTTCACAGAAAACAATGACTGGTTTCTCATCGACGGTTTCAAAGACAATATTGAAACATTTCTCATTGGACGCAGTTTAAAAGTTGTAGAATCCTCTCGGTTTGTTTTAGGAATTTTAAGGATTTTTATGATTGGAGAAGTTTTAGAGTTCTTCATAGATTAAAGGAAAATCACTACATTTGGTTATTCAGTTTTTAAAAGAACTACTAGTAGAAATCGCATAAAACAATAATAAATTTAAATCTAGCGGGTGTATAACATTGAAGCTACGCATAAATATATTTTTATCAAATTTTCTAGACCAGCGAATCTCTTCACGATTTAATCTCCTTTTTGCTCTCAGCCCTTTATGATCCTTCGCTTCCTGAAAGTGGTACCAGCAGTAGGCATCTGACAATGAATTTTTGTACAATCCGTTCTAATCCGATAACAGTAGTATTTCGGGTAAGAAGCGCATCAGCGTGAAGTCAGTAGCAGCAGCGCTTTGTCTCTAATCAAATATTAAAGGCATCGTTAATCTCGTCCCGCTCTCTGCATTTGCAATCGCGTTAAACGGTTTAGTACTTCGTTATGCGCTCGGAGGTGGCCTGTGAAATTCGAATAATTCATTTTTTAAAAGTCTACTTTGGGATAAAAAGCTTAATTAGAAAAAAGACTTATTTGTAATACGTTTACTGTAATTAATTATATTCATCCTACCAGTTCGAACTAAAGTTTGAGGATTAAGATAGAAAAAACTATGGTTTTAGTTTAAATCAAACGTTAATTAGTCGTCATCTGCCATCCAACAGAATTCCTTCTCTATTTTTTAGTTAAAGGGATGGATAGACGGTAAATATGATTATATGAAGAATCTATTCAGCCGAAAAAGGTTTGATTGACAAAGCATCTTCCATATCGAGTCTTGACAAGGCAGAGAGGCGGGCAGATGTTTGGTCGTATGTAAAGTATTATTATACACCGTGTCCAAGATAAGAATGTCTATTATGGGGATGTCCGAAATCATAGAAGATACGACGATGGGCAAATTAGGTAAAAGTTGTGCAATTAAACAGTTATTAGAAGATATGCCCGAAAAACCGAAATTTCCGGATCTTATTTGAGCAGATACAGAAAAATTAAAAAAAAAAGCACCATCTCGTGGCCACTTTTTGAGCTCTACAAGACACCGTTGAGAGATTTTTAATACAACATATCGTTTCGGAGAATCATCAACTTAGTTTTTTTATATGGTCCGTAAAAAAGTACACACTGTATTCTCACGAAGCTTCATATCACTATCAAGTCTGATTTAATTGTTTTGGTCACGCAAAAGACATTATAATTATGTTATCGCCCGTCAGACTGGCGCTGATAACTTTTTCATAGTTGTGATGTACCCACGCCAGCCCCGAGAGATTGCACAACTCAAGATTCAAATTCAAAACTTTCTCCCAAACTAACTGAATCGCATCGCACATGATCGTGTAGACAAGGCTACCTAACGTGAATAACAAAATACTAGGACCACTTACTACGTTGTGTTTTTAAAAGTCGCTACAAGATATGTGTTGCTTGTCGGAGTAAGGATCAAGGAAGGAATACAAATAAAACAAGGACATGCTTAAAAAAAAGTAAATTTAATCAAATAAATCGCATTGCAAGATAAGATAAAATTTAGAAGTTCACCGAGTACAAATATAAAATTACGCTGGGAAAAAAGACCTGACCAAAAAAAAACCCGCCAACAAATTAATATTAACATTAAAAATTAGTTGTTTGTAATGACATGAATCATTATTAATAAATGCACATAAGTTTGGATATTCGGTGACCAGTCCAATTCCCACATCGAGTAGTCTTTAGTTGTTCTGGTCATGACATGTCAGCCTTACGCTTTTAGCAGATCTCTGCGCAATTGAGGCCGGGATTCTCCTGCAACCTCATGTACGACTAAGCGGAACCCCAACTCTTTCATTCACACATATCTAGGATCAGTCCAACCCACTAGTTATAAAGTGCTGGGTTATTATAAAAGCCGAAATACAAGTTCTCAATATTAACACAGCAACCATCGGCAAACTTGCACGCATACATAATCATAAACAAAATATAAATCATTTATGTAGACTTCGACAGTTGACTTATTTGCCTTAGCACAACAAAGATTGACACAAAACCAAAATTCGGTCACTACATGTCAAGGGTCGACTAAAACAAACAAGAGAGGGATAATAATAATAATAATAATAATAATTTCCTCTTTCCTGATAGCGTTGGCTATTGTGCCCATCAATAGGTATGTTGGTAAGTACGAATTACATTATCCCTAGATGTCCAATGTACGTGTGTGATTTTTTTTTTTTTTTTTAATGACCCTACATAACTTCACCAGACACAGACACTAATCGTTACTTGATTTTAATCCGTGCGATTAGTTAACCAGGCTAGACCTGAGTTCTCACAAGAAACACCGATAATAATAATAATAAAAGAATTTCATTAGCAATATGGGCAAGATGGCACTTTGCTACGACCAAAAACAGTACACATAAACATATATTTCTGTGTATGTCAGGTGTGGACTTTTGCTACCTTCATCTACTAGGTCTAGGTCAATTCGAGATTAAATATCGGTATCAAATATAGCACAGTACATATTCGAAACAAGTCACTCTGCCAAACATTAATAATCATAATCACCCGGTTCAAACGTTAAGTATCACATTACAACAAAACAAGGAACATGTCGTGACAAAATATTAGTATAAAGTAATTAATTCTCAATGTCAAGAGTATTATGTATCAATCAACGTCACTCGCCCCCAGGTGAAACACCCTGTAAATAAACAATTGCAAAGAGAGGAAATATCTTAGACCATATAGTACATGGACTGCTATTCGGCCAATGCTTTCAATACAAAATGGATGATCACGGATAGAGGGCACTGTAGTCGTGGGTATGTGAATCTCAGGGTAAACTAAAGTCGTGTAAACACCACTAGGATCGCTTAAAGAGCAGCTTTATAGTAACCGCGTAGTACGGGAAGCTTTAAGTGCTCTTCATTATTTGCTATACGTCCACAAATAAGAATAAGTTTGCTTTTTTTTGGGGATATCTAGGCGATTAATTAATTGACGTTTGTTAATTTATAGGTTGACAGTCTCAAATCGTGTCTCATCGGACAACTTCGGACAGACTCGTTTACCCTGAAACTCACATACCCAGGCGATGTCCTTGACCATATTTTAGTTACAATTAGCAGTCCATGTACTATATGGTCTAAGGGAAATATGAATTTATCTGTCAATATTTCAAAATACAGCCGAATTCATGAATTGCTATAATATTTATTACACCCTCTTATTGAGTATCATCCCAAGAAAACATGCTGTATCTAAATATCTATATTGACGCCTTTTGCGTCGCCGGATCTATATGGATAATTTGCTTCCCTCGTATAGCGTTGGGTTTTGAACGTTTATTGTCAATTATGTCCCATTTAAATGTAGGGCCGAGGAGAAAAAAAACTCTTGTTCTACGAAGACGAAACAAAGAGTAATCTTTAGAATTCTTTCGACACAGCTTCTTAAAAAAAATACATTCGGATCGCTACTTTATTTCCTTTTAGATAATAGTAACCGCGAATATTTAAAATCGAATTTTAGCGGGCAAATTCGGTTCCATTACAAGGTCATTAACCGGTCACGACGCATCCGGAAACCCACGACTTACAAAATATAGATCGCCACAGTCCTCTAAACTAAAGGAAACATACTAATACCTAAATTGAGCTACCCTAACGAAACTCAACTCGCAACCCTACGAAAATTCGAAAAAAATAAACCCCATTAACTGACTCCCGTTACACCACACTACTAGCTTTGAGCGAAGGAATCAGGTACAGACGCAACCTCCATAAGACAGATCGTAGTCACTTTTACCTCTTACTATAAGCATTTCCCTTCTCTATCCAACGTACTGGCACGCCCACTAGAAACTTGTCGTCGGGATCTGAGATTCCATAAGCGCCGTGTAAATCTCGGATCCTACGTTAATCGCTTTTAGATACCAGAGATATTCGACCGTTATAGAATTTATGGCTCTCTTTATAATCTTTATGTAACATATAAATATATAAGAAAGTGGTAGAACGGACCAAAATACATTTTTTTGACTATTTCGTTAGAGTGAGCTTAGTTCCAAAATCTGTATGGTGTAAAATTTTGTTCTCGTCGATAATAATACAGGGTGACAAAAGCATAACAATGTCAATTTTCAAAAAAACAAATTTATTTAATGAATATTCTGTTGGGGAAGATATTCCATTCATGTTGTACGAGTATAGTAAAAATTATGAATGGTAGGTCCCGTATTCTCTGATGCAAACTTTCAATCTTTCAAGAAAGCTTCTACAGACGTTTGTCAATGCCTCGCGCACCTTCTCAATATTTTCCCTGTTCGTGCCCTTTGTGGATGGAGGTCTTGGAGGATTTCTATTCTCCATAT